ACAGGAAGATTTTTGCCTTTGCCAGAGGTCCTTGGAATATGCTCTTTCTTTTTTGCAAAGCAGTCCTGTCACAGGACTCCTTGCGCCAGAGTTAGTTCTGTACATGGAGGCCACCTGTAGTGTTGTAGTACCATCAGCAATTAGTGATGGTTCATTAGAGTCCAATTAATAAATGAAACCAGGAGGAGAGCCCACTGCTTTGCAGAGAATAACAGCCCTGCTCATGCCTTAAGTGGCAGCCTTCTGAGAGCTCAGAAGCCACAAGGACCAGTTGTTCCACCTTCAGCATTGGGGGCTGGGGCTCAACACTGAGTGGGAGCATTGTTGGTGGCTGCTTTCTGGGGGAAGTAGGGAAGGGGGAGAAGGGAGTTTCAGACCTGACTATTCCTGCCTTACTTCTCAGCTTCTCTCTTGAGGAGCTCCTGGCACGACACCCTGCCCAGCAATCCCAGGGGAGCTTGGCCAAGGCCAGAAGCCTGCAGGCCAGGGCTTTTCCCTCCTGCCTGCCTGGCCTCAGAGGACGTGGCCAGAGAGAGAAAGGGGGTTGGGAGAGAACTCAGTCAGGGAAGACCATAGCTCCCCTCCTTACTACCTGACCCCTGCTCCCAAACCATCATGGTACCCGCCTCCCTAGCTTCAGGCTTTCTCCCCTAGGTGGGGAACTCTTCCTCCTAAGCTGCTCAAGCCCTGCCCCCACCAGGAAATCTGGCTTCACCTGTCCAGCCCAGGCAGGGTCAGAAACACAGGAATCCCACCTTTTTAGCCACCCCATTCAGATGACTATCTGTCTCTGCAGAAGCCAACTCCCTATCTCCTGTCCCTGGTGCATAAGCCCAGCCTCCAGGATTGAGGAGAGGTCACTGGGTTTTCCAGAGGCTTCCAGGACTGGAAGTAGCCTATGGACTGGGTGTCTGGGTCTTCTTGGTCTTCTGGAGGATGCAGGAGGCCCAGTCTCCCTGGCTAGAGGCTGGCATGGAGGATGCAGGTAGAAGGAAATTGCCCTGACCTATCAGGACAGATTGAGGTCCAAGCATGACACCCTGGCAGCTGGCCTGAGGACTCTTAATCAGAACCTATGCCCTGACTTCCCGCTCAGATTTCCAGGTGAGCCAGCAACAGGGCTGTGATGGACCAGGTCAAAGCATTGCCAGACGTCTTGATCCACCATCCCTCCACCTAAGGGTTTGACTTCATTCATCCTTCTCAATCCCTGCCTGATGGCTTCCTTCCCAGGGCCTTCTCCAGTCTTTCAGGATTTGGGAGCCTGCTCAGCAGCCAGAGCAAACACAAATGGGGGCTCTTTCCTCTCCTTCACTCTCCTGGCAGCTACCTGGGATTGGCACTCTAGGCAAAGAAGAGGCCAGGCTTTGACTTTTCATGTTTTGATGCTTTGAGGGGAGCTGAAGGCCAGAGGACCGGGCAGGCAAATGGGGAAGTGAGCTCACGTGTGAATAGGAAACTTCGGAGGCAGCTTGAGGGCTGGCAGTTTGGGGACATGGGGCATGGGTCCTGAGGAAGCATGGAATTCAAGCCTTCCCAGGCAGCATCTGTGTGTGTGTCCTCTAGAGGCAGGGTGGGTACGGCCTTGAACCTGCTCAGTCTCTCTCCATCAATGCCCTGTGTTTTTCTGCTGCTTACCTCCACTCACAGCTGCAGCCCCTGGGAATCAGACAACAGTTTTCTCTCAGTCATGACCTTGCAGAAGGAAAGCAAAGTCCTTCTTGTCCCCTCCCACTCACATCTGCACTTGGGCTTGGTTCTGGCCTCCCACTCCCTGCTGGGGTGAGCCCCAGGGACTCCTGGCTTGAGACTGGAGTTTGTCAAAAATTTGTCAAAGACACACACACCCCTTCTCCAGCAGTGTGGGGGTGGGCTAGCTTGAGGGAATGGTTAACATTTCCCCAGAGCCTGGCACAGGGCTGCTGCACTGTCTGTGAACCTGACCCTAGTACCCATCCTGGTGTCGCTACCCATGCTGGGGGTGGATTAAAACTGAGCCACCTCTGAGCTTCCTCTGGTGCTGACTGCCCTGCCGGGAGCCAGCTATACAGATGGGGCAGGGCTTTGGGGACAGGGAGGGATGAGTATCAGTCCTTAAGGAGACCTGGGGAGGGAGGCTTTGAAAAGGTTCCCGGGTTCTGAGGCTGCTCTGCCAGGCCTTCTGGGGCTGAGCCATATGCCTAGCTGGGGGTGCAGAAAGGAGCTGGGAGCAGAGAGTGAGCTGGTCCCCTTCTCCAGTTCTGCAGGGAATCAGAGGTTCTTCTTGCATGAAGGCCCACAGGAGTCAGCTGTGCCAGGAAAAGCCATTACCCTGACAGCTCCCTCCACCTGCTAAAAGCCTCCCCCTTCCCCTGGGGCCTCCCCCTCCCAGTTGCTTCCTCTGCACTCACCTAACCCTGTCGCCCTCTTTAGTGGGGAGTGGGAATGGGGGCAGGGAGAGACACACAGGCTTGCTTAACTCTTTCTTTGCTGGAAGGAAGCCAGTATGACTAGGATCCCTGGAAGCTTCCCACTCCTCTACACCTGGAATTCCTACTGCCCACCCTCTAGGAGCTGTGTAGAGAAAGGGAAGGGACCACAGGCCAGGGAGAGAGGAGAGTAGAAGACAGGCTAGCAAGTGCACATCATGGGGTCCAGCCTGAATCCTGTCACTGTGCTGCTGTGACTTCAGGCCCTCAGTGTTTCTTTGTGCACACAGAGCCACTGGGAGACCCCTGGGAAGCCCCCAAGGACATGCCTATGCAGGAGCAGGTGCTGTGTCCAGCCCCCAGGTGACATTCTGGGTGTAGAAGAACTGACATCCTCCTCGTATACCCTCTGTGTTCCCCCCTTTCTCTGTTCTCTGGATACCAGTCTCTAAGGAGGGAGGTGAGCATTGTTGTGCGGGCAGGGAACTGATCTCTGGCCTTAAGGCAGAAGGCTGCTGAGAGCCGGAGGCCTCTGACTTCAGGCCACAGAGTGGCACCAAGAGGGGCTCCGATGGTGGAAGGAAGGTACCCAAGGGCAGAGGGGTCTGCGCTGTCCTTCCAGCTCCATGCCTGTCCTCCCTCTGCAGCCTGGCAGCCTCCCTCAGGCCCCTGCACCCAGTGGGGAGCACGTTCTGTGGGGCCTGCAGGGGCAGGGCCTGGTGGGCCTGGTGGGCCTGGGTCTAAGAGGGGCTCTTGCTCCCCAGGAGATGCCCCTTCTCATTCCAAGGCTGCTTTTCTTCTCCTGCCTGCTGCCCATACCCTGGTCCTTTGAGAAAACACCCAGGTTGTTTTGTATCACAAAGGAGGGAATAACATGAACTCAGGCTTCCTGGGTGCCAGAGCTTAATATGTTTTCTCTCTAACTCTACAGTCATTCTCTGAGGGAGGCACCGATTTATAGGGGAGGACCTGAGGCTCAGAGGGGAGCAGATGCAATCAGGACAAATATGGGCCCAACCCCATTCTGAGTAACTCTGAAGCCTGTGCTCTTCCCAGGGGTTCACACCTTGGCTGGAGTGGCCAGAGATGCCCCCAGCCACAGACCCAGAGTTTGGGGCATGATGGGGGAGAAACCAGGCCAGGGGTAAAGAAGCTAAGATCTCTAGTGATATGGGGTAAGAAGAAGGAATTACATTTGTAATTTAAACATTCAAAACCCTAATCCTTATTAACACTTTATGGTACTTAACACTGTGCCAGGCAGTGAATATATTACTTCATTTCGTTCCCACAGCAGCCTTACTGGAGAGTACCATTGTCACCCCCATTTCACAGATGAAGAAATAAGGCACAGGGTGGTTGTGCACCTTGCCCAAAGTCACACAGCTTAGTAGGTACAGAGCTGGGACCCAGCTGGTCTGATTCCAGGGTCTCTATCACAATCATTGTGTCATACTGCCTGCTTGTCGAGGCAGAGTAGGAGTCCTCAGCTGACCCCTGGAGCTCGGAGATGGGACTCCTCGCACAAGAGTGGTCACCCACAAGAGCAGGACTGGGTTCGTGGTAGCAAGGGGCCAGGCCACAGTGTCATTTAAGTCTAAAGGACAGAGAGAGCAGGGAGGAACAAACTGAGTAGGGAAGAACCATGTTGGAGCTGCTACACCTGGTGCAGACTGGACCTGAGCCAATTGGTGTGCCCCACACTCCATTTGGAAGCTTAGGCGTGGGCCAAGAGCTGGTGAGAATGCCATCTTCACCTCCCCCCAGGGTACCATTTGTGCACCGTGCCTCACCTCCTGGGTTCCGCAGGGCAATGCCTCACTCTGTGATGGTCTCTAGCCCTGACATAGACACACTCGCCGCTTCAGCAGAAGCATGAACTCTCTCACTGACTGGTTGACAGCTCTGAATTTCAGGAACACTTAGCCCAGATACTTGTGGGGTGCACTGGGATACAGCAATCCTGAGCTCCCACCTCACTTTCCACAGCCTGGCCTTGAACAACTTGAGTGCACGAGGGCCCAAATCTCCCACCATTGTCCCCTGTACCCAGCCCTAGGCCCTGCACACAGTGGGCACCACAAAAGGCAGTGGCATGTGTGTGCTCCAGTGAAAGGGTTCAGAGCTGGAGGGCTGAGCTGAGACAGGGAGTCTGGGCAGAAGGAAAATGGAGGTCAAGAGGAGAGGACAGCCAGGAGGACACCTGACCTAGAGGAGAGGTCAGGCTGCAGAGTCCACACACACAGGCACCTGCTGGGGAGCACATCCTCCCTCCCCCTGCAAGGGACAGGAAGTCAGACAGGAGAGGTGTCTCTTCCCACCCCCACTCTGAGCCTCTTGTACCTGCATCTAAGTGAAGGCCTCAGCAGTGGCCAGTGAGACAATGTGATCACCCGGGCAGGCAGGGCAGCCCAGGGGAGAGGCCTGGCATCCCCCAGGCCTGGGACAACATGAGTTCATGTCTGCGCATGGGAGGGAGCTCTCCATGTTCTGTCCACCTTTTGCTCAGATTTATGAACAGTGGAGTCTAAGGGGGGGCAGACTGCGGACACGACCCCTCCCTCTGATTTACCCTGTTCTTCCCCTCCCCAGGAACAGCACATCTGAGGATGCGAACAACCAGAGCTCCAAGGCAGTCACATCTGTGACCTCAGAGCCCACCAGATCCCCTGTCTGGGGGGACACAGTGAAAGTGGAGATCCAAGCGGCAAATGTTGGGCAAGAAGGTGAGGCTGGGGGAGTGGAGGGTGGCGGTGTGAGCGCAGAACTGTCCCTTAAGGCAGAAGAGGGCTCTCCACTCAGCTGGCAGCCACCTGAATGTCACTTTGGGCTCAGTTTAAAAAAAAAAAAAGCACTAAAAAAAGCACTTTAAAAAATCCCAATATTGTCATGCCTCATCTCCCCAGTCTGCTCGAAAAATGAGTTGTTCCACATAAATGAATTTTCCAGACAATGCAAGCTTATCTTTTTTATGTCTGTTGTTATTATTTTCATGGTGGTTATTATCACCGTCTCCCAATGAAACAGCACATTACAGCTTCATGGCACGTCCCCACACATCACTCATTGGAGTCACCAGCTCCCAGGAGGAACAATGCTGTTCCCATTGCTTGGGAGAGAATCATGAGGTTCAGGAATTTGAATAACTGGCTAGAGCTCAAGTACTCAGTAAGCAGAGGACATAGGACTCAGCACTGCATGTTCTCACTGTAGCTCCAGTGTTACATCAAGCTGCCTTGACTTGTTTTTTAAAAATGTCTTTAATGTCCCTAGAACAGATGCTTTTGTGTGTGCCCAGTCCTCCCTGGGTCTCGGCCCAAGTCACCAGGGCCCCATGTGCACTGGGCACAGTGCGCGTGCACACTGCATTTCCCCTCTGATGGGAGAACCAGGCTGGGCACCCAGGAGCACCAGCATCGGGTGCTGCCAGCACAGACCAGAGGAGCCTGGTGATGTCTCTGGTCTTATCCGATGGGAAGATCCCTGGGCTCACTTCTTGCAAGTGGCCTCTGCTTGAGAAGACAGGCTTACCTCTCCTCTTGAAATTCTGCCAGGGACCTAGACAGAGCTCCTTGTTCACCTCACAAAGAGCAAAAAGCTGGCTGCTGAAGGCTGACAGGGGAGTGGGAGGGTGAGCCTCTGGAGAAGCAGAAAAGCCAACTCTAGGTCAAGCCAGAGAATTGCTTTTTCTGCCTGTACCGGGGGCAGGTGGAGCTGTTGGGACAGTTTCAGAAGACACAAAAGAGGAGGAAAAATTGACGTAGGATTTCATGCAGAGGCACGTGTGAGCCTGTGTGCGTGTCTTTGTGAGCACCTGCGTGCCAGTCGGTGTGTACATGTGCACACTGAATGTGTGTGTGGATGTGCTGCGCCTCCCCTGCAGTCATGCATGCTGTGTATCTTATGTGTGTGTGAACAGGTGTGCCTGGCTGCAACGGCGTGTTGTGTGTGTGCCTGGATGTATCAGGATGGTAGTATGCACCTTGCAGTGCATAAGCGCCTGTAGTTTGTGTGTGCCAGTGTGTGTCATGCATGCATGTATGTGGCTGGTGGGAAGTGAAGGGTTGCAGTGAGCGGACCTGGGCTGGGATCCTGCCCTGGGCTCTACTCACCTAGGGTAATAGAGGGAAAGGTATGATAGGGCCCATCTGTGCAGTGCAGAGGGGACAGAACTAGCTGCAGGAGGGACAGGGGGGTGGGGAGGCCACATGGGCAGACGGGAAATATTGGCAGGCGCCTCTCTGCAGACTGAAGTAGCTGGATGCTTGTTGGAACCTGGTTGGAACCGGTTGCTGTGGTGATGTCTGCAGTGGGGGTGGGGGAAATGGGGGCCAGGCCAAGAGGTGGGGGAGGGTGGAAGGTAGCTCAAGGATGTGTTACTGAAAAGCAAAAGGGAGTTTCAGACCCTGTGTCAGGGCCAAAAGCAGGCGGGTGACAGAAATGGCTTGTTGGCCACACAAAGGGAGCAGTGGGAGGCCGGAAGGGCACAATGCCCAGAGAGGAAGCTGATGAAGCGTGTTTGTGGCATGGAGACAGAAGCAGGGAGGGGTGGCTGTCCATTCCCCCCAATTCCAGCTCCTCTGCAGGCTGCCAAACAGCGGAACAGAGGTGGGGTTGGGAGAGAATGTGTGGCACTCACTTCTCACTAGGTTTCAGCAAATCCCAACCAGATCTGGGGACTCCAGAGCCCATGAGAAGTGGGCATGAGGGGCTGCAGCCTGCACAGCTTCTGTTGGAGCTTGGGCTGGGAGCACTGGCACCCCGAAGCTGAGTTTCCTCAGGTCTCAGAGTGGGTGAGTGTACAGAGAGCTGCAGGTGGTTGACAAGGAAAAAAATAGTGACAGCCACAAGGAGCATTTGCTTGGAACTTTATAGCATGAAAACTACACTCCCCTCCCTACAACAATCCTAGGGGAGGGACAAGACATTTCTTTTTTAGAGTATTAACATTTTGCAGAGCAGGAACATGAAGCTCAGAGAGGTTAAAGGCCCCAGAGAAAATTAGTGTCTTGGTATGAGAGCCCAGGTCTGCTGACTTCAAACCCCTTGCCTTAGTTTACTTTCTTCAGGCCAAGCTCCACACCTTGAATGACCTTACCCCTCTTTCCTTTGTGGCTACCTCTTGAGAGGCAAGTGTCTTTCCCTCTCTGTGTGTTCAGGTTAACTGTGAGGGAAAGAGAGAAAGAAGGAAGAGTTATAAAATCTCTCACCCTCCTCCACCCGACAGACATCCGAATGACCTCTCCAGCTCCAAGTGACCGAGCTGCTAAGTGGGCTCATCTCTTGGCTTCCAGCCTGCTGAGCCTTCTGGGACCAGCAGCTGTCCTTGGTACTGAAATGTCCCTGTTTTAAGAAGAGAGGCACAGAGGACCAGGGGCTCCCCGAGACACACTTCTCCATCCCCAACCTCCCCTTCCCATTCTTCCCTAGATCTCTGTTTTATCTCCTTTCCTCCACCCTCTCTCTCTCCTCCTTCCTCCATCTTTCTCTTTGTCCTCCTCAAATCATAGATTTTTCTGAATGGAAAGATGCTGCAGAAGTCACCAAATCCAGTCCCTCCCATCATCCATGTCCTTGCTGTGTAATCTTGATCAAGTTGTACAACAACTCTGAGCTCCATTGTTCTTTAAAAAAAAAACAGAGGTGGTTTTTAAAACCACCCCCTACTTGAGGGTTGTGCCAGGAATTTGTTGGAGTAATAGCTGAGGACTGGCATCCCCATGCCTGGCACACAGCGAGTGCTCACTTACTAGAACACCATGATTACTTCCAGGATGCTGCTGTTATTCTTAAAGTTCATGCCAAAGTTCATGCCCTCTTGTGGGAAAATGTGGTCTCTTTGGAGGACATTGACTAAGTGGTACATTATTCTTAGTGTTTAATTGTCATTCACTTATCTTGAGCAGGTCACTTTTTATTGCTGAAACTCAGTTTCCCCACCTGTAATATGTGGAAGATAATCCCCTCCTGCCTGAGGAACTGGCGAGAGTGTGTGTGACCAAGGAAGGGGTCTTATTCCTGGAAGGGAGTGCTACGCCTTCTTGCCTGTGTATCTATCTCTCTGTGTGCACACGCATGTCTGCTGCCACAGGGGCTGGGCTGGGAGTTTCTCAACCACAAGAGAGGATGTATTTGAGGGTTCTAACAGCACCTAGCCCAGAGACTTGCCAAGTGCAGGGGCTCAGAGAGTGCTTGTGGGGCTGTGTGCACAAGTGGGAGCCACACCTGTGCATGCGCATTGACTCTTCAGTGGCCCCCGCTCCCTGCTCCCACCTCCCACGGAGGGAAGGTGGGAAGTTGAGTCCTGTTCTGACCATGTGCTCATGTTTTCTCTTTCCAGATGTGGTCCTCAAGGTGGTGGACAACAAAAATAAAGAGGCATTATTGTCCTATGAAATCCCTATCAAGTACCTGCGTGTTTTCCACCCCTACCACTTTGAGCTGGTAAAGGTGAGTCAGCAGCCTGGAGCAGGTGGGGACAGAGCTGGTGGGAACCATCTGGGTGCCCCCAGCTGTTCCTCAGAAGCAGCCCTGGGCGTCTCCTGCCCACCCACAGTATGACAATTCCAGGGCTATGCGAGGCTCTGGAAGCCCTTTCTCCTGACCCATAGATAGGAATTCCTCCAAATTCATCTCTGTAAAACAGCCCAATTAGCATAGCATAAGTATACCACATTAAATGAATATACCAATTAAAGATGTATTCTGATCTCATAAAATGTTAAAAAGAAAAGGGGGGGGGTGGATCTAAACATCAAAAAAAAAAAAAACCAAAACACTATTTACCGAGTACCTACTGCTCCAGACCCTGTGCTAGGCATCTCAAATAGCATCTCTAAAACCTCAAGGCAAATACATTCTGCATACATGAGACTGGGATCTGGACACTGGCAGAAGAACCCTCTCACCCTGGGTGACAGAGAGCGAGTAAGTGGCAGAGTCGAGGGTGAGCCCGGGTCATGCTGTCTCCTGAACCAGTTCTTTCTATGCTGCCTCTACACACTGCCTTGGCAGAAAGGCCCAGGAGGGTTGGGAGACAGGGGGATAAAGCGTTTTCCAGAATGCACCACTCAAGTGGGCAAACTGGGCATGAGCATGGAGTGGGGAGACTTAGGCCCCTCAGTCCACAGCTTGGACCTCTCAGGCTGGGCCCTCCATCTGTTCTCCCTTCCCATGCTGAGCAGGAGAGAGAATTCACTTGCTCATTGCTCAAGTATTTAGGAAGTACCTACTATGCCCACCAAGCCAGGCCCTGGGCCAGAGATGAGCGCAGGCATCACTTTCCTGTCCCCCACCGTGCACTGCAGATCCCTGTAGCAATTGAGAATACAGAACAATGTGAAGCCAGACAGTCTGGGTTCCTGCCCCAGGTCTTCTGCCTACTGGCTGCATACCCCATGGGAAGCCACTTAACCCCCAGGCCTCTGTCTTCCTCAGCAAAGCTGAGACCACATGCCCCTGGCAGGGTCATTTGGTGAATCCAATGCAATGATGGGAAGGCACATAGTAGGTGCTCAGTTCAGTTACCTTCTTTCCTCCCTCCCTGCTCCAGGCCTTGCACTGACCTTTTTTCCAAGTGACTGTTCACCATGGCTCCCAGGATATTTACTTTCCCTTAGGCCCCAAGGGGAACCCCAATCCCGGGCTTCAGTATAAAGTGTCAGGGCCAGGCAGGGGAGTGAAGGCCCAGAGAGATGAGTGACTTGCTCTGGGAGATGCAGAACCTCAACTGTAATTCTGGGTGTATGGGTCCCCTGGCTCCCTGTCCACTTACAACCCAGGCCTTGTTATCACATCTTTACCAGAGAGCAGGCAGGCACTGGTCCTTGTGAGGGTGATGAAATATTCAAATGGAAAAGGGAAGATTTATTATATTGATCTCCTTGGAAGGGCTCACAGGGACCATGAGGTTTAATTATCAGCTCAGAGCCCCAGTGGAGCAATGCCAAGTGATTGTCTGCAGAAGCCTGGATTTATGGCCAGGGTCTGCCCCTTAGACACCCTCCTTCTTGTATGTCTTCTTTCCCTACCCCGTCTCTAGCCTACCTGGTCTGGGAAAGATAACAAAAAGACTAGCAAGACGCAACTGTACACTACGGTCATTCGGAAGTGTAGCTTCATCCCCCGCTATGTCGGCTGCAGCCACACAGCTCTGGAGGTACCAGGGCTGGGGACTCTGGGGTGGCATGTGGTGTGGGAAGGGGATAAGCTTTGGGCCATCCATAGGCCCTGCTTTGGCCTCCTCTGCCTGGCCTGAGGGTGTGGAGCAGAAATATCAAGAATGGACAAACCAACCAGGCCTTCCCAAAATAGTTAAAGTACTTTGTAAAACTAGGCCCTGAGGTGGCAGGAATGGTGAGGAGGAAGATGCCCACTTCTCTTTCCCTCTCTGCCCTGAACACCATCCCTCTACTACAGGGAGGATGGAGCCTCCCAAAGCTTGGTGTCTTCCTGAATCTCATGGAGCAGGGAGAAGCCCTGTGCTCCCCACCTTGGCACCAAGTCCCTGGCTGTTTTCTGTTCTGTTCTTCCCTTTCTAGGGTAGGGACTAGTGTCTAAGCCCACAGACAAAAGTTTAGGGCCTCCCCAATTTTTCCTTTAGTTTAGTCGTCTAAAGAAGTTTGTCTGGTCTGCCAGTTAGGTATTCTGGGGTCCATTCATTCATTCATCAACTATTTATAGAGTTTCTTCCATTAGCCCAGATAAGGCTGGGCCATCTGGGGCCTGGCCACCATCCCTTGACCCACCACCTTCCACCCCTAGGCTGTTCAGCAGCTTCAGAAGGAATCACTGAAGCCCAAGGCTGACATGGTCCAGGGACCTGGCCCCTCTTCTATTCCCTCCAGCCTTTAAACTGCCTATGGGTGACAGATTCAAATCCAGCTATGGCTTAGATGTGATCAGGGAATCAGGGTGGGAACTGTGGAATCCAAGCTCTGGGCTCTCTCCCCAACCTGGCTGATCTGACCCCCAACCCCAACCCCCAGCACTATGTGCCTGACAGTGCAAGAACTGTTCTTTGTCCCCATTTCACAGGCGAACACCGAGACCCAAGGAGAGTCTAGTCCACACCAGAGAAAACTCCTAGCCCGTAGTTCTACCCCACAACCACCCCTGTAGGCTCCCTCTGCACCCACCTCTCCTCTCCCTTTACTGCCCCCTTTCCCAGCAGCTCTCAGCTATGCTAAATGAAAAAGAGCAGCAACATCTTGGCCTTGCTGTTCCAGGCTGCACCCCTGGAGCTGCAGAGGCTGCTGTGAATCAGCCTCCACTCCACTGACTTGCCTGGTAGCTCCCTGGTCCCCAGCACCCCACCCACCCCCCTGCCCCAGCACAGATACCCTCCCTGTCTTTGCAACTAGTATAGTTCTGACCAAGCAGCTGACTGCTCATGGTGGCTGCTGGAGAGCACAGCAGGAGTGGAAACTGCTTCTGTCACTCAGCAGGCTGTCATGAGCAGGTATGCCTGGGCAGCTGTCTAAGCCACACCTGGCCAGAGTCCACACAGACAGGAGTAATTAGCTCCCCTCTCCTTTAAGACTCCCTTCTCAGTCCATGTGAGCTGCAGGGCCTGACAGTGCTCTCATGAAATCCCTCAGGCCCAGACCCCCAGCCCGATCCAGAGTTTGAAGTGCCACCATCAGAGTCAGCCCTTTGAATGTGGAGAAGGGATTCAGCCTCTAAAGGACCCAGTGAGAGCTGAGAGGCCTTGAGCACTTATGGCTCAGGCTTATGCGGAGTTAGTGGCAACCAGCTGAGATGGGCCTAGCAGAGGGGCCTGGGAGAAGGGTGCTGAGGGAGAGGAGAAACCAGGAAAGGATCCAGAACAAGCCTCATTCCTGGGCCTTCTCCTCCCATTGAAAGTCAGAGATGGAGGGACCAGGGAGATTATGGCCCAACTGCTCAGTATACATGTCAGAAAACTGAGGCCCAGAGTGAAGCAAGACTGGCCAAGAGGACCCAGCTGGAGCAAGTGGCTGGGCTACAGTAGACCAGGGGACCCTTCCCGTCCCAAGCAGTGACTGGGCATGGTCCCACAGTGCTGTCCAAAATTCTTTCCCGCTTCTCTCCCATCAGCACCACGTGGCTGGGACCCCACCCATCCCCCAAGACCTGCTCTGAGACCGCTGCCTGTCTCCTCCCCCTCCCAGGGCTCTCCCTCTGCTGCTCCCCTCTTTCTCTAATTAATGTGACACTCATTTATCCCACAACACGTACCCAGGGCTATTTTGCACCAGGCACTTTTGCTAAAAGTCACTGGGACAACAACAGTGAATGAGACAGACTTCTAATCAAATAGACAGAAAATAAACAAGAAATGAATTAGAATAAGCATAAGCTAGGCTGAAAGCTGTGGGAGAGGCAGAGAATGGGGCGGCTACTTTATTAAGAGTGGTCACAAAAGGCTTCTCAGAGATAGTGCCATTTAGGCTACAGGATGGGAAAGAGCCAGCCATGAGGAGTTGGTGGGGGCCATGAGGGAGTCTAGTCAGAGGAATTAGATCGTGCACAGAGCCTGAGGTGGAAATAGGTAAGGTGGGTTGGAGGAGTGAGAGAAAGAGTCTGGAACAAAAAGTGCTCTGGGAGGGCTAGAGCAAGCTTTTACCTGACCTGCCCCCTAGGGACACCACCCACTTCTCCTGCTCTGCCCTCATGCAAGTTGTGCCGGTGGAAGTCTGGAGGAGAGGAGATGCAGGGATAGAGTGCACAGAGGGCCTTAGGAGGTGACAGAGGACTGAGGTCTGTTGGGGGAGTAAAGAGTGGGATTTGATGGAGAAAGAGTAGCTCGGAGATGTGATGCTATGACCCCTCCCCACGGATAGCAGGCACCAGGGGGCACCCAGCTGTGGCCATTGACTTCAGAAAGCTCAGTGTGGCCAGAAAAATCAGACCTGGGCATGGTGTCCTCCATTTTCAAAGTGCTCTTTCACAGATGATCTAATCAGGGCCCCTCCCAGCCCTGAAAGGAACCAGGACAAAGGTTTTTGCCTCCTTTGACTGAAACACCTGACCCTAAGTCCTGGCCCCAGGAGCCAGGGGAGGAGCCTCAGTTGGAACACAAGCTTCCTACCCAAGTCCTGACTCTCATCTGACCCCTCCACCCAAGAGAAGCTGGTGTAAGAGATCCACTGAGACCCAGGACAGAAAGCCAGGGGCAATTGCCTCAGCTAGGCAGAGAAGGCCTCCTGGAGGAAGGCAGCCTTGCCCAAAGTAAGAACGGAGTAAGGCAGGGTGCAAGGAGGACAGGTGCCGAGTGCAGAGGCAGCCATGAACCCAGGGGAGGAGAGAAAGATGGCAGCGTGAGGGCCCAAGGCCACACAGGGTTCACCTGCCTCCTTTCTTCTCCAGGTCTTTCTACATGGAGTCAATGAGCCCCTAGCCAACAACCCCAACCCCATGGTGGTGATTGCCCGGGTAGTTCCCAACTACAAGGAATTCAAGTGAGTGGGGCCCAGGTGGGCATGGGTAAGGAGGAAGAGAAGGCTGTCATTGCCACCACAAGCTAATTCCAGGAGCCCTGGAAACCCACCTCCTCACTGGGTTTGAGATCCCAGGAGACTTTCTGCAGCAAACTACTGATAGATCAAATCCCACACAAATAGGGTGGAACCACCTGAAAGAATCAACCCTTCTCCTACCAGATGTCCCACCTAAGAAAAGTGAATGGGTCAACCCCCTTCCCTATCCCACTGGATGTCCGACCTGGGAAAGGTAAATAGGCTAATCCCCACCCTTAACAACAGATGTCCAACCCAGGAAAGGGAACGTCCTAACCCCTGCCTTCCTGACATTTTACCCCCTATAACATCCTTTCCCCAGGAAGAGCTCAGACCCCCTGGAAAGGGCAGCCCAGATCCCTCCTGAGAGCAGGCTGGGGTAGGGGGCAGATGAGAGCTGGAGGGAAGCCAGTGTGTGGAGAAGGAAGAGAGGGGTCCTTATTCCCTGTGATGAGGCCTCAGCCCTTGGCCTGACTCCAGTCTCTCACTCACCTCTTTCACTCTAGCTCTGGGCCATGGGCTCCAGCTGGTGGTTTTCCCCACAGAGACAGCCTAGGGGCCCTTTTGAAACTTCGTAATGTTTAGCCCTGCCTAGGAGTCCCCTCCTGTAGGTGTCCTTAGCCCCAGTCCCAACACGTCCGCTCCTCCTACAGACTTCCCTCTGAGAGTGTTGAGTGCACAGTGCTCAGGAGGAGATTCAGTCTAGTTTGGCTGCACAGTAGGGGGAGTTCCCCAGTGAGCTCCTGCTCTGTGTGACAGCACCATCTCCTGGGAGGCAGGTATCTGCCCCTATCCCCTCCACTGGCTCTGATGACCCAAGAGGACCCCAACCCATCTGCACCACCTGCTGAGTTTTCGTGAACTATGAATCCTCCTTGCTTCTTGGAGGAATGAAAATGACTGATGTATGTATGCTCAAGCCCAGTGACTCGGCACAGGGCGCAGGCATGCATGTACACACCCTGAATCCTGCCCCTGCAGGCACTTGATGCCCTTCAAGCCTAAACCAGGACTCCCACCATGGGCATTAGTCATTCTGACTAGATCTTCCAAAGGCAAGGAAGGGAATGCAAGGCCCATTTTAAAGATGGTACAGCTGAAGCATTCAGATGTGGTCAGGGCTAAGGGAACCTCAGAGATACATCTTGTCTCCTGACCAAGATGAGCTTCCCGGAGCATGGGCCAGCAATCAGAAGGACCAAGATCACCATCTATATCATGGGGTCCTGGTCTGAACTTAGCAAGTCACAGTACTCTTTTGCTCCAATACAGAGTTGAAATGGGGGCCCTGGGCTGCCAGGCTTAGGCACAGAGCTGAGGTGACTAACCTTGTCTCTTTGCCTCCCCAGGGCCAGCCAGCTAAACAGGGACCTCACCTCCGTGGGGCTGCCTATCACCCCAGTCCCTTTCCCTATCCCATCCATGATGAACTTTGATGTGCCTCGGGTCAGCCAGAACGGGTGCCCTCAGGTATGGCTCCTTCTTTCCGCTCTCTGTCCTAGTTCTCATAACTTCTCCCCCACGTTCACTCACTAACTCAGTCAGCTGTTCACTTGACTATTGGATAAGAGTGTGCCGAATCCCTCTGTGTATCCAGGGCTGCGCTTGTGTGTGCTACAGAGGTACTGCCTCTGGAACTCTTGGTTTAGTGAAGATAGGTGTCACACGCACAGAAAGGTTAAGCATTGACACGAAATACACAGAATGTATGCTCTGATAGCAAACTCAGAGCTATAAAAATCAGAAGAGAAAAGACACACAGGGACAAATATTGTATGATTCCACTCATATGGTACACCTAGACTGGGCAAATTCATAGAGGCAGAAAGTAGACTCATGGTTACCAGGACTGGGAATGGGGAAATGGGGTTATACTTAATGGATACAGAGTTTCTTCTTGGGGTGATGAAAAAGTTCTGGAAATAGAAGTGATAGACGCAGAACATTATGAAGGTACCTAACATCATTGAACACTTAAAAATGGTTAAAATGGTAAATTTAGTGTTATGTGTATTTTACTATAATAAAAACTTAGAAAACAGGAGAAGGAGGTGAAGCCTGGGTGATTAGGGAGGGCAGTCTTGAATTTTTGACCGAGAGAGAGTCAACACAGGGCAAGTAAGAGCAACAAGAGCACAAGCGATGGGACACATTGGTCACAATGCATGTCAGGGTGGACAGGAGGGCAGAGCGTTTGAGTATGGAGGGGTGTGTACAGGTCATGTCTGGGTCCAGGGGAATGCCAGATTGATCTCTCCTCATAATCTGCACTTCGTTGCAAGCTTCCCCCACCTGATGGTCCCAACATTGAGGACAGGAATAGAAGGGTGTTTTTCGGAAGTCTGTCCTGTTGTCTACCTGCCAATGCTCATGTCTGGCATGGCAAAAATAGAACAAGACACCCCTTCAGAGACTCTCCTTCCATTTAAAAGCAAAGACATCTGAAGAAGGCTCAAACACAGGCAAGAATGATGGTGGTGGGGAGGGGTGGGAAGAAGGGGGACCCTGGGGACAGAGGCTTCGAACCCAAACCAATCCTTTGCCTGATTTCCCCAGAGTCATCTCACACATGGCCCTGCATTTGCCCAGAAAATTATGAACCAATCAGCAGGCTGTCCCGAGGGGTAGGAGGTGCTGCTTGCTTTAATGAGTGAGCCCCCTCCCACCCCTGAGCCCTCTCTGGCTGCCTTAGCTGCATAACTAGTGTGTGGAGGTGGGGGGTGGGGAGTGCCCCTTAATACAGAGACTTCCTTCTAACACCTCCTGCATGTTTGGGGCTCAGAGTCAGAAGTCCAGCAATGACAGGACACTTGTTGCAGGTCCCTTAACAACACAGTAGCTGGGCCAGGTTAAGAACTTGCTGCCAGCTGACACCAAGGTACCTACCCAGGTACAGGAGTGAGAAAACACTGGGGCAGCTGCTGTGGTGTGGGAGGGGTGAGGACACTGCAGGCAGAGCCCTACCTGGAGGGGGCACCAGTCAGCAGCCATGGGCTCAGAAGTTCACAGCACCCCTGCCCGGACCTCTCTGAGTTTGACTCCTCTATAGTTGAGGGTACGGAGTTGGACTAGATAATTTCTAGGGCCTGCCCTTTCTGACATCTTGCGGGGCTGTGATTTCCTACCACCTCACCATATGAAAGCTCTGTGAGCAGGGGAAGGAGGGTCCAGCCCACTAGAGTTTGTCCCCAGCTCCATGACTTATTAGCCGTGTGCCCTTCAGCCAGCTGCTCAACATTTCTGGACCTATTGATTCCTACCTTATGGGGTTGTCAGTAGAACTCACAGGATAACCCGTGCAAAGCAACCCAGCCCAGGTCCCAGTTAAAGTGGTTCTGCCTCTTCAAGAGCTGTAGTCCCTCCACCCCTCGCCTGTGACATACGTCCCTCTGAGGCCAGCCTCACCATGGCCTCTGTCACATTTGGCTCCAAGTAACAGAACGTCCAACTCGAAACCCCTTAAACACTAAGGGTATGTACTGTCACGCATCACAAGAAGTCCCGACAGAGGCTGCTGCCGGAACTGGTTGCTGCCGGCTCAGAAGCGTCCTGGAGGATTTTGCCATCTTCAGTGGGTTAACAGCTCTGAAACGTTCCACGCACCCCATCCAAATAAGGCCAAACACCAAGGGAAGAGGGGGGCCTTCTCGTCTCACGGGTGGGTTTTATGAGGAACTGGAAGCCAACCCCACCAGTCATCCCTCAGCAGACTGCCCTCGGGCTCAGCCGCCCAGCACCTGCGCTTCCCCGAGCCAATCACTGAGGAGGGGCGTGGCTGCGGCGGCTGCGGAGGAGGGGCCACCGGCTCGGGGCCGCCTGGACGCTGGGCCCTCTGTGGGCCAGGAGGAAGGGGAGCGGTAGTGGGCTAGGCGGCCCTCAGGGAGCCTGGCGAGGAAGCTGAGTTCCTATGAATTAGGGGATAGGTGGGGCTTGACCAGGCCCAGCCTACTGGAACCAACATGGGGATGGGCCCTTGGAGTTACTTCTGACCTTGCACCCCACTCCTGAAGGGCGGCCATTGCCCAACAGACTGCCAAACTCCTACAGAGGCTGTTATCCCAGACTCCTACAGAGCTGGGTGGAGTTCAGAGGAGCTGAGACACAAGCAGGGATGGAAAAAGCTCAGGCTCAGCTTGTTCCCCACCTCTCCTGGGGTTCCCTTCCATCCTGCAGTCTGCCCTGGCACTGGCACTCTCTAGCCTGGACTCCCGCAGCGGCCTCTCCTCAGGCCCTCCCATCGTCCTCTGCCCAGGGTCTCTGCTACCCTTCTGACTCCCAGCACTGACTCTCCCTGGCATTCTCCAGCCCCACTGATGACTTGCTGCGCTCTATAGCCAGGCCTCCCTTTCTCTCCTCCAGTCCTTGCCTTTGCAGGACTCAGCTGGAGCTGCTTTCCTCCTCCCCAACTGTCCTGTCCCTCCTGTCCTCCCTTCCCCAGGTCAGAGTCATGGCATTCTCAGGCATCCTGCTTCCACAATCAGACCTAGCTTAGACTTCTACAGGGACCATGGTGAGGGGAAGTGTCAGGGACAGGGTGTCCTATCCCCTTGAAAGATGTTGGGCTCCTGGGGAGAATGGTCTGGCTCTAGCTCCCACATGTGCCCTGCAGCACCCCACAGGGGTCTGGCATGGAGAGGTCTCCAGTCAACCTTTGCTGAGTTCTGTTGAATTGAACTTTTACCTTCCTGGCAAAATATCCATTGTCTCTTCAATGTGGGGAGCACAAAGCATTTTCTCCTTGGATGATGAAAAATCATGGTCCCAGAGAGGGGAAGGGACTTGCTAAAGGTCACACATCAAGGTTGAGGCAAACCCAAGCCCACAACCAAGGAGTCCCAGCACCCCAGGAGCCCCACCCCAGCCTCAGCTGCCCAAGCTGCCCTCCCCAGGATGGCAGCCTGGCCAGAGAGGCAGAGGTGGGTGTGGGTGGGCCCAGAAGCAATGGGAGACCCTATAGAATGATGGCTCTGTCCCCAGGGAAGGCAGGTCTGCCTCAGTGGCTGGGGGTTAATGGCTTTTCTGAAGATCACAGATGAGGGTTAATCACATTCTTTTAATTCCACAGCCGGCCATGGCCTTTCCCATTAGCAGCTGCAGGCAGTGTCTACCCCGTCTGCCCCCCCTCATGCCTTCCCTCCCCAACTCTAGGTCTGAAGGGATCTTTCCTGGAGGACTTATCCTGGAAAACTGTTCAGGGAGGTCTGTCCCTTATTGGGCACTCACCACCTCTTGCTTTGAATACTCCATTTAGACACATTAATAGGTCCCAGAGAGGACAGCTAGCATCCATTAAATTACCTTCCTCCAGGGTGGAAGCAATGCACAGGGCAGCAGGGGACTGAGTCACATATCCTCCCTGAGTGCCCCTGTGCTTGGCAGATGGTCTAGGCCACATGAACACCCGAGCACCCAAGAGAAGGGTGGCTCTGGGAAAAGCATGGCCTGAGGATCAGTCCTAAAAGATCACTCCCAAGTCCCACAGAAGCCAAAATTAACTTGTCTGGCCTGACCTGGTGGCCAAGTGGCTGTCCCTGATCTCCCACCAAGGACTCTCATCACTCCAGTCCTTGTTCTGGTTTTCAGGCCCCCATGGCAGTGACTGCCACCTGTCTCCCCAGGCACAGGGGCAGGTGCAGCCTAGCCTTTGGTGGGGCCTGGAAAAACCAGGCATATTAGTGTGACAGACATCAGAGCCCTGCCACCACAGGGGAAGGAGGCCCACATTGATATTTCACAATCCTGCCATCAGTAATTCCTGGAGCCGGTGGTGCATTGATGCTGACCTTTACAAGCAATGATTGATTCCCACAGGGGAGCAGGAGGTAGAAGCAGCTGCCACCACTACTGACAGCCCCCAACTGGGGGCAGAGGCAAGGCAGCCCCTCTCTATGCTGGGGCCCCACAGAGCTACCTGCTGGGAGTTACAGATGATGCCCACCTTCCAGCCTTTGCAGATGCTGGGTCTCCCCCTGGGGTCTCTTCTTATGCCAAGCATCCCCTGCTCATGCCATGCTCAGTGCCACCCCCGCAGTTTTGCTAGTGCTGCTCTCCCACCCAGAAGACCTTTATCTGCTTCACCTGGTCAAATCTTCCTCCAGAGGCTTCCCCTGGTTCTGCTTCCTTCAAAGTGGCCTTTCTGACCACCCACAGGAATGTTTCCTGTAGCTCCCTTATTTGGGGAATACAGTTAATACTGTCTCCTTTCACTGCTTAAGTGGTACCCATGTGAGTGCCCCCAACTGCTGATGGTGCTCACTGCTGACACAAAGGAGCTTCAGAGCCTAAAGAGCTGTCTTGGCTTTCTGTGAAGGGCTGGGGAGCCTGTGTGGAGCAGAGAGCTGATGACAAGAGTAGAAGCCATGTCTGATTTGGCATCTGTGACAAGCCATGCGTGTGAACATGAGTGCAACAGTTTAGGAAAACAGTCTACCAATAATGAATCAAGTGCCTTAAAATATGCATGCCCTTTAACTCGGCAGTGCTGTTTTAGGAATTTGTACTCAGACAATAATTTGAGATAGAAAGATATGTGGCAAAGAACATTCAGTGCAGCATTATTATAGGGGGAAAATGAGAAGGGAGAAACCAGGGTACTTGGACATCACAGAATATTCTGAAGTTAATAAAGTCATGGGCAACAAGAGTTTCTTATGACTCGGGAAATGCTTCGGTTTTGATGGTAAATTAGAAAGGCAGGGTGCTAGAATAACAATTGTATATAAGATGCGCATAGAAAAAAACAAGAAAGATGCACACAATTTTATGAACTCCTTACAACAATTGTCTTTAGTGTGAGAAGGTAGTTTTTTTCTTTGTTCTACTTTTCTGTATTTTCTAAAACTTATTCATTTACTGTGTGTTGCTCTGTTCATTGGGACAAACATTTGTGACACATACAGACACACTCCACACACAACCAAGTATTTGCACATGCTTTGATTTGGGAGGAGCTACATCCCCACCACCTACTCTTAACCTCTCTCTCCAGCTGTCCAAGCCTGGGGGACCCCCGGAGCAGCCCCAGTGGAATCAATCCTTCCTCTTCCAAGGTAGAGATGGAGCCACCAACTTCTCAGAAGACACAGCCCTGGTACTGGAGTACTACTCCTCCACTTCAAGTGAGTGCCCACAGTGCCTCGCCAGGTCAGCCATGTATCAGAAGCTTTGTATAAAAGGATGCAGAGGACCATCCCACCTCTGCATCCCCCAAGGCTAGGTTAAGGGCTCTGAGGCACCCAGGCAACAGGCAGAGGAGAGACTGGCTGGTTTCCTTGTCCAACTGGTAGCTGTGGGCACAAGCCATTTCCCATACTAGGTCCTATTTCCATGCTATGTTTTCACTGCACCCATGGGGGGAGGTGGAGCCCTCAGAACTCACAGGGATGGGTGGGGGAAACAAGATTCAGAGACCAGCTGGTCTGTAGTCTTACTTCCACTCTATGGCATTAAAGCCCTCGAAGGGCAGAGATGAGGGTGATCCATCTAAGTACCCAGAGACACAGAGTATGTTTAGAGTTGGCTCTGAATTCTCAAAGCCCTGAAGATGGGAAGAGGAGGAGGATGGGTGTGCAGGGAAAGATCAGAAGGAAGAAAAGCAGCTGGGTGGTGGGAGATAGGAGGGTTAGATGTTGGGTATGGAAGGATGAGGCTGGGGTGGGGGTTTTGGTGGAAACCCAGCTGGTCCTTTCCCTTCAGTGAAAGGCAGCCAGCCCTGGACCCTCGCCCAGCCCCTGGGCACCTCAGTGCTGCCACTAAAGAGTCGTTTGTACAGGAAGATGCTGACAGGGAAAGGCCTGGATGGGCTACGCGTGGCACGGCTCCCCATTATGGTGAGTCCTCCCTATCCCCAGAATGGGCCCCCCACAGGCCCACCTGGCCCTCCCCTTGCCCCACCTTGACACATCTTCATGGAGAATTCGCTTCTCTCAAAACCTTTCACTAGGGCACTGACTGTAGGTTCCAGGAGCTCCCCCAACCAGAAAAGTCTTGCTCCTGGGGCTGTGATGAACCAAGCCCGGGAAATTGCCTGGGAGCAGCATGGGGAAGAAGCACAGGGGGTCCCTGTGGGATAGTGCAAGAGGTCAGGCCTTCAGCCAGCCAGACCTGGGTTCAATTCCCTTCTTACCCGCATCCTCACACGGAACAAGGGGTAAATTACTCACTCTCTTTGAACCTCAGAGTACTTGTCTCTAAAATGGGAGTGACATGCCCAGCATACATATAATGTCTGTGTAGAACAAGAGAGTTAGAAGCTCAGGCTCCAGAGCCAGAGTGTCTGGTCCAAATTCTGGCTCGAGCTTACACAGTAACCAGCTTCCAAAAACTTGGGAAATTACTTAAAGTTTCAATGCCACTGTTTCCTGCTCTGTAAAATAGGCACATAGTAACAGAGCTTTTCTCATAGGGCCGCTGTGAGATTTCGTGAGGGAATACTTAGTAAAGCACTTAGAATAAGTTCTCAATAAGAACTAGTATCATTATTCTTTTTTTTTTTTTTTCCTTTTTTTGGAGACAGAGAGATACAGTCTCACTATGTCGCCTTCAGTAGAATGCCGTGGCATCACAGCTCACAGCAACCTCAAACTCTTGGGTTAAATGATGCTCTTGCCTCAGCCTCCCAAGTAGCTGGAACAACAGATGCCTGCCACAACACCTGGCTGTATTTTTGGTTTGGTTTGTCATTGTTGTTTGGCAGGTCCGGGCTGGATTCGAACCCACCAACTCCAGTGTATGTGGCTGGTGCCAAGCCAGTATCGTTATTCTTATCATCATGATCTATTTCTATGCCACTTTTCTCCTAATATACTTCTGGTCATTGTGGTATCATAGACTTCAACAAATGGAGGTGGGGGCTCAGCGCCCATGCACAGTGAGTAGGGTTCCAGCCATATACACCAGGGCTGGCGGGTTCAAATCCGGCCCGGGCCTGCTAAACAATGACAATTGCAACAAAAAATAGCCAGGCATTGTTGCGGACACCTGTGGTCCCACCTACTTGGCAGGCTGAGGCAAGAGCATCACTTAAGCTCCAGAGTTTGAGGTTGCTGTGAGCTGTGATATCATAGCACTCTACCGAATGTGACATAGTAAGACTCGGTCTCAAAAAAAAGGAGCTGGCCCTCTGCCAGGAGATGAGTCTGGAGGAGGCATTTAGGTCCCTGTGGAGTTGAGAAGGGTGGTGTGGAGGTGGTAAGGGGCAGCAGAGGCAGGAAGCCAGCTCCTGACTCCCTCCCTCCCTCCCTCCTGGGCACAGCCCCCAGTGGACAACTTCCTGGGACCAGAACATGGGGTGAAGCAGAGGCCAAAGCTGCCCCTGGCCACTGTCACCTGAGTGCCTTCTCCTCCCCAGGAAACCACTCTGAAAACCATAAATGGCGAGACCCCCACAGTGGATCTCTCCTTCCAGCTGATTTCCTCTGAGGTAAGGCTGTGGTCGGAGGGTGGGGGTCAAGGTTGACAGTGCAGTCATGTGCCAATGCCTATAACCTCTCAGTGAGACACAGCCTTGTTCAGGGCTGCAGCCAGGGGCTTCTGGGAGGAGGAGACTGTTGCTTCAGACAGACATGTCTGAGGGTGTTTTGATGCTGCAGAAGGCCAGAAAGAAAGCTGAGATTAGGAAGAGAAGAGTTGAGAGCAGAGGGCCACCTAGACCCAAGAATCAACCTCGGACCCAACCCAAGCCAAGTCAGGCTCACTAGAATCAAGGTTCTGCAAAGGGCAATAGGACATCAGTTCTCTCTTGCCACTTAACCAACTTAGCAGCTTAAAGCAATACCCATCTTTTAGCTGACCCTTCTGTAGGTAGGTAGTCCAATACAGTGTGGCTGAAATCAATACACTGGCAGGGCCACATTCCTTTCTGGAGGTTTCCAAGCTCATTCTGGCTGCTGGCACCATTTGGTTCACTGCACTTAGAACTGACATCCTGGCTCGGCGCCTGTGGCTCAAAAAGCTAAGGCGCCAGCCACATACACCTAAGGTGGCGGGTTCGAATCCCCAGCCCGGGCCCGCCAGACAACAATGATGGCTGCAACCAAAAAATGGCCAGGCATTGTGGCGGGCACCTGTGGTCCCAGCTGCTTGGGAGGCTGTGAGGCAGGAGACTCGCTTGGGCCCGGGAGTTGGAGGTTGCTGTGAGCGTGATGCCATGGTGCTCTACGCAGGGGGATAGCTTCAGGCTCCATCTCAAAAGAAAAGAAAAAAAAAAAAAGAACTGACATTCTAGCCTCCTTGCTGTCTACTTGCTGGGCCAAGCCCCTGAAGGCTGCCCACACCCAGAACCACAGAGAGGAGAGTGGAAAAAGTCCAGCAGGTGCCTGCCAGGTACCCTGGAGCCAAATGGTCAGGAGCCAAGCTGGGCTCTAAACCTTGGGTGCAGCTGGCTAGAGGAACAGAGGTGTATGGCAGGCAGGCCTCAGCCCCCAGGTATCTTTCCATTCTGACCAACTTAACTATGGTAGCCAGAATTCCAAAAATGGGTATCCAAGATTCCATACCCTAATTCTTGGAACCTGTGAATACAATGTGCTACCACTCCTATGATTTTGTTATGTTATATGGCCCAATTGACCTTAAGAGTAGAGGGATTCCTAAGAAATGCTTGCAGGGGCTGATGTCTGGGCCACCCACTCCTGCCAGCTCTGGGGTGGTACTTGACCCTGACCTCGCCCATGAAGAACACAGGGAGCTCCATGGTGCGGGTAGGAGGGGTATATCTAGGCAGGTACCAACTGGAAAGTACCCTCACAAGACCTCTGGGGAGGGCCTGAGACCTCCTCTTAGAGCTCCCTGCTAGGGATGCTCAGCATCACCCTCTCAAGGATCCTCAATACCTGGGTGGGAGAGAGTTAGATAGCCCCCGACACCTCACCACCACCATCAAACCAGGAACAAGAGGATATTGAAAGAGGAGGGCACAGAAAAAACAAAGGACCCCAAAAAAGGGGCAGCAGCTCCCTCCACTGGGGCATATGTGTCTTGGGATTAAAAGGAGCGTCAGGTGCCCTTGGTCAGGGGACTGGTACACCTAGGCAGGCAACAGGCAGGTGGGCAGGATACTTCCCCAGTTGCCTGGGGGCTGGGCACAAAGGTCCCCAGTAATGAATTATTCACTGGAGCTGTGCTAAGTGCAGAATTAATCCCTTTCCTTCCAGCTGGCGGCCTCACTAAATTATCCCTCCAAGTCATGCGGGAAAATGCTGCCGAATTCATTTAGCTGCTGAGTGTTTTGATCTGGGCCTTGTGATTTTAGCTTTCCCTTCCCCCAGCCTCCCCCCTCCCCCCACCCCCCACCCCAGGCGGGTTAAAAAAAAAAAGAGCCTTTTAGTAATGGATTTCTGAGAAGAAAGGAAAAGAAAAGGGATCAAGATTGGGCGTGTACCAAGAAAACAGTACTAGCAGATTCTGCAGCCAAGAATTTATACACAGACTGTACACATATGCACACTCTCATGCAATCACATGCAAATATCTACCCACAGTCACATGCAAATATCTACACACAGTCACATATGCACAGATGTGCTCACACACACCTTTGTAAGGGTGCACACAAGGCTGTGTATGCATGCCAACTGACACACAGAAGCCAAACCTCTTTGTAGCTTAACTGTTTCTTGGCGAAACTATTGAGAATTGGCCAGTAACTGATTCACTTTGATTCTTTGAATCTTGAATCACATTAGGGGCTTGAGTCTGAAGAGCTAATGCAGGTCAACTAACCATAAAGTTCTTTTGACCACAGCCCTCCCCCTTTTATTTTCTTATTCCACATATATTTGATGAGGAACCACTACATGCCAGGTACAATGCAGGGAAAGAAGTAGAATTTTGGCTGCCCTCATGGATCCCATCTGCCTTGAGTTCACCCTCATCAGCCTTGGAGATGGCTCTCTGCGGGGGTAGGAGCCCTTTTGCCGTCCTTCACCCTAAAGGGTGGCAGGAGAGCGTTGAGAATTGATGCATGGTCAGATGGCACTGCAGCTAAGTCTGAAGGGGCTCATGCCTTTCTCCATCCCTCACCTCCACCTTCACTAAAACACAGCCATTGTCCTCCAGACAACTGCAAATGTTTGGAGTGCCGCTCCAGAGCAGATGCTATTCTGAGTTTTAGGGATAGTACATCAAAGAAGACAAAAATATAAGGCCCTCTCATTGTGAAGCTTGTATTCTCAGCAGGGAATGTGAACAATGAACAAATAATTTGTCAGCAGATATCAGCCAGTGAGGAGCTGAGCAAACTCAAACAAGGTGATGTGATAGGGTATCCTTGGAGGGGATGTTTGGATTCCATGCAGTAGCCTGGTAAGGTTATGAGCTAAACTGGTATAAAAAGAAGACAAGGGTCCTCCCATTTCATCCATCTCAGATGTTGCCTGCAACTTCACAGTGGAAGAGACCTGGTCTTCATCTCTGCATCTCAGCCTGCAGGAAGGCGGTGGCAGGGCTGGGCCTATTGATTCTTCCACCATTCAAACCAAGCACTGCTCAAAGGTCCAGGAGCCACCACTGGGTACCTGGAGATTTTAGGGTCCTTTGGACATTCCAGCCACAAAGGTCTTGTGACAGTGAAACTCTCAGCCCCCTCTTGCACCCGGTCAACAACTCCATCTTAGGGACAGCTCTTTGCATGTGGGCAGACAAGGCATTACTGTCACAGAGCAGAAATGCTCCAGAAGAAATGAATATACAAGCCTTATTTGGAAACAGGCCCAGCCTGAGGACACAGCCCCTTTCCCATGAGCCTCCATGTCGAGCAGGTTTGGGCACAGGCTGGATCCTGAGTAATTAGACAATTTGGTGAACACAGCCTGCCCACACCAACTGCTTCCACGTCACCCATTTTCAGAGCTCTCAGTGTCTTCCAAATAGGCAAACACTGCAGAGGTCTCTCTCAGCAGCCCCACCCTGGACAGGAAGCTCCTTGGCAACATCCCCCACAGGTGGTCATCTGGCCTCTCCTCCTGTTCTGCCCTCCCAGGGAGCTCACGACCTCCAGAAGCAGGCTCGGTGGCTGAAACTGAGTGAGTGAGTGATAGAAGTCCTCAGTTCACTATGAGCCCAAGCTGCCTCTCCAGGATCTCCCTCAGCCCCAGGCTTCTGGCTGTGCCCCCTGGGGCTACAGGGCAACCCCACCAAGCCTACTAGGTGGATCACGTAGTTAGCATCCAGCATCGTCGTGGGCAAACTGGGTAGCAAAGCCCACAGTCTTTGCAAAAGGCAAGAAGTGGTGGTCTCTCACCTCTTGAGATAATTGTATTTCAAGGTGATTTGTTGGTTAGTTTTTACCCTGTGATGGAATTTCTCTGTAATCGTTTGCTGCATAGGGTGATCTGTCTTAAGCTAGATTTGTGTAGGTGAGTAAAAACTAGAAAAACAAGCAAACTCGCCTGCACACAGAAAACTTCCCCTTATTGCACATCCAGTGGGGGTCAACCTTTGAGGTCCTCCTGGCTCTGAGAATCCACATACGTGTGCACAGATAAACCTCTGGTCTCCTCCATTCCCCCTCTGATCTCAGCCTCTTCACTTTGAAGAGGGTGATATGGCCCCCCGGGAGTCTGCAGTCCTCCAGGCTAAGCAGCCTGGCTCTTTAATGAACGGGTTTCATAATCCCACAGCAGCCTGGGTGCCTCCAGGTTGCAGCCAGCCTCTTTGAAGTGAGGACCACGCTGACCAGGTTTGCCAGCTGACCCATGTGGATTGGAGCCTGGCATGCACACAGTAGGTGCTCACTGTGTGAGTTCCTGCCACTCTGTCTGGAAATGCACCTCCCCACAAGGTGGGCGTCATTCATAACGTCATTTGGGGATGTGGCAACATTTCCTCTCTTAGGGTTAGGATTTAGGATCCATTGTCTTGCCAGATGGAGCACAGGACAGCAGGCAGAGGTCAGGCTCCTCAGATGTGTGGCCACCCCTCCTCGGCCCACAGCTGAGAGATGCTAGAAGGACATGAAACCCACCAGCTTCCTGTGATTTTACACAGGGAGAGTGCATTTGAGGAAGGAGGTGGTAACCTGCTGCCACCACTGAGGGAAGGAGCAGCTTCCCAGTCCCATCCCACCCTCCCTTAAAGGAAGGTAATGGGTTGAGTCTTTGATGCTGCTCTGGTGGGGGTTTTTGCCCAAACTAGTAACAAAGCTCTCTCTGGGGACAAGGCTAGCATGGGGACAAGTGGCTGCTGAGCAAATGTAGCAGGGAGGGCAGGGGACAGACAGAATCATGTTGTCTTTTGAAGAACTCTTATGAATATTTTTTTAAACTCATGCATGACAGCCCTGGGTTGGTCCTTAGAGAAACTCCAACACAAACCTGCCTCCACTTCCTCACCCAACACAGCTGCCTGGAAGGACCAGTATCCAGGACAGCACAGACATCTCAACTGGTTCTGTCCTCTGGACGGCTCTGTCCTCGTGCCCAA